AGACGAATAAGTATAATATCACGTATACATCTCTACTGGGCTACATGTAAGCTCATATTACGCACACACAACAAGTACAGTGACGTTTGCGTATTGCAAACATGTCTTCCGTACATTGATTATATTCCCACCATTTTATATATAATCAACTTCACACGTTTCAATATAATGAACTAGTGTCTTGCTTATGCTAACCGTAGATAAGAAAAATAATGATGACAAATTTTAGAAATCGAATGAAAATATTATGTTCTAAATGCAATATCAGTCGAAGAAAGAAAGAAAGAAAAAAAGTTATTTTGGCGCCTTGTACAGAACGTACGTTTCATTGATGATATGGCGCACACAGTAAAAACAGACGCTTAAAAGACGCTTACGTGTAAACATACTACGTGCCATAATGCTCGTTTTTGTCTTTTTTTGATAATGATAAGATTCGATTGCCACAGACAACGTTAAATTTATAGTTAATTGCACTATATTCGTATTATTACGTAAAAATTAATCAAACAGAACGTACATATGCCACTGTCGATTCTGTGCATACAACTTTAATAGGCTAGAGAATTGGATGCGAGCGGGAAATCAAAAGCATTGCAATATATCATAAACTACGTCATAGATAGCAAACTAATGACTAAAAGTCCCTCTCATTTTTTACAAATTTTTCAATTACGTTACGCTTGTTGCCATAATTAAAAGTTTAAACGGGAAATTATTCGTTAGAAAAGTATGACGACTACTATAGTACAAGATCCCATATATGCCAATGCATGGCGCAAGTAGCCAAACAGAGACTGATCGTACGCGGGCTATAGCCTTGACGGATGATTTATGATGAAACACTCGTGACAGAGGCCACGCCGACATTTTACATTATGAATGTAGAATATTTACATTTTCACGACAGTTAAAACTGTCACACGATGTTTCCTCGCGTATCTATACGTAATGATAACAAAATACACGAGAACCTTCCTGCTAAACACATCTCTGGGCAGCCATTTGCTATGACGGCTGTGTAGAAATAAAAGGTATATGCACAGTACGGAGCACAGTAGCACTTCACTAAATAATAGCCCGTGTTACGCTTATCATACAATGATGATAGCCTATTAATCAATTGTTGGTCACCAAAATCTGTCAACACTCGAAAAGAAAAATATTTAGATTTTTCTTACCTGGACGGTCCTCTACAGCTAAAAGGATTCTCAGCTTCGAATATCGCGACCCCACGCCACTTGTGCGGCATATGAAAGTACATGGGGAAAATCTGTATTACCATTGGCTTATTTCAGATAAGCCGCAAAAAGTAAGCCAATCAGCATCAACCTTTTATGTTTTGAAGCGTTTCTTTTTACCCCCCCAATAAAATGTCTGCTGGTGAAAAGGGCGGGAAAAATCATGCGTGGAAAACCATCTATACGATATCATTCGCTATACAGTAAACAATATTTTATTTTTATCTTCCTGAACAAATGCATTTTTAGTAACGAAATGTACTTATTACGTTTAACTAGAACAATAGTGCCTTTTGCTGTATAAATGATTTAAATCATTAAGGTTAGAATTTATTATTATTGTAGATGGCGCTAGATTCCGAAAGCTAAATGTTAAGGCGCAAATTACAGTACCGCCAACGTGATGCGTGAAGTATCATGCATGTGTGCATATATTATATACATAATATATCTTTCTAGCTGAACGAATTATTTTCTACTATAGAGATTGATATGTTTGAACAATTAAAAATAAACGCTACAGTTCTTTTATTAAATATTTTCAGATACATATGTTTAATAATCTTTTGTATAAAAAAATAATTGTATATCTTTTTTATTAGTTAAAAAAATAACTATTTATGAAAAGTTTTGTTATGTTTATAATGTTTATTAGTGTTTCATGAAATATAATATTGTTACTGTTGTTTTTATTAAACATAAAACACTTGTCTAAGGGAAAGATTAAAATATTATAATTAGACCAGAAATACATATGTGAAGTTATGAATTTAAAATATAAGTACTCATATGAAACAGGTGCAAATTGTATATTGCACATAAAGATATACATCTAATATCTTTTCTACAACAATTAAAATAAATTAATTTTCAAGAAATATGTCAATTTATTCATAAAACATGTAAATATGTATGACTATAGTAATCATTTTCAATATATATGTAACTAATTTATTAGTTTTATCAATATGTTATAAGCATACAACATATGAATAAAAAGAAACTAGAGTTTACTAAATCAAAAAATTTTATACTTTTTTTACTGATATCACTTTCCGTTATATATTTTTATCTTTTCTACTCTATAAACATATTACATGTTCAAAAAATAATGTCCAAAAATTTGACATTAGGCAATATCTTTGATTTGATAATAAATTAAATAAAAAATTAAATGAATCCAAGAAAGGAAAGAGAAATAACATAAGATATAAAGTATAATTATATATATATGTATAATTAACTACTTTAATGAATTTTAAATGTTATTTCGTCAGGTATAAAATTTAAAGTTGGTGATACTGCGTTTACCGACTAGGAATTTCTTAAAGTTAAACCATGTCGTGTATACAAGCATTTATATATTTGCATTTTATATATATATATATACATATATATGTATTTTCACGCAGTATCGTCCGAGTCAATGTGGATGTGTAAATAATAAAACGCGGTGAAATGCTGTAGTCGTAACAGGGAATATTAAAGAAATCTATATAAACATAGGTGTATTGTGAGGAAATAATAGTGTTAAATGTTTGCTTGTAGCAGGATTTTTGGAAACGTTTGCAATAATAGATACATATAAGTAACTTATACGTTAAATTGTTGAGTGAAAGAAAGTGAAACATTATATGACATCGTTTAACATTGAAGTCTTCGTAATACGCAAACTCTGCTATTTAAATTATCGATTTGTGTACTTGAATCTTTGCATCGAATAAAAGTCTTTCTGTGCCGGTAAGAACGAATCACTTTTGGAAAATTATCAATAACAAATGAAATTCAACGGGAAATTATGAGTGTGGGAAGTAAACATCGCCGAGTGTATTTTACTTTTTGGTACGCCGTTTTTTGACGCAAAACACATACACCGAGAGGTTTCGAGGTTGTTAAAGTTCTAAATACTCTTCATACCGATTTAGTTGATATTAAGAATAAAAAAAAAAAATGAATGGATTCAGTACCGGTGAGGAAGATTCCAGAGGAGCTGCTGATCAAATCTGTTGCCTTGTAGATGAGGGTGAACGATGCACTCGACCAGCTGGCAACGCTTCTTATAGCAAACGTATTCAAAAAACTGTAACTCAACGACGATTAAAGCTTAATCTTGATCAAGTGGTAAGATTAACGACAAAAACTACACACGTACTTGTCACTTTCTTTCAACCATTGAGTTTTACTGTTGAGTTTTACTGTTTTCCTATTGTTTTAAATGTAATGTGTCATTTATGAAAAAGTAAATTATTAATTTTCAAGATTCTTTATGAATGATTTTCTTTTATGTCATGATCAATGTCTATTTATCAAATATTGACAATATTTAGGTAATTAAATGTTTTATCATCTACATCTACATTATTAACTTTTCGAAATGCTAATGATATATTTAATTTAAAGAGTTAATAATATATAATAACTTAAATATTTTAAGAGTATTTAATATTTTTTACAAATATGTTATATTTATCTTATATTTTAATAATCAAATATCTTATATTTATGCTTTAGATATAACTAAGTATCTTGTATTGTAAAAAAAAAATTAAATATCAAAATCTAATGTATATGATAATATGTCATCATATATCTTATCTATCATCAGGCACGTCATATATACATTTGTGATTATCATAAGCAAGTGATACAATGTGCAAGATCTAAACAACAACAACAGCGTAGACGTAAGGATTCTGAAGAAGATTCGGGTGAAACAGATAATGATTTGCCTGAAGTTGACCTTTTTCAATTACAAGTGGGTACACTTAGGCGATATAAAAGGCATTATAAAGTTTCCACACGTCCAGGTTTAAATAAAGCTCAATTAGCAGATGTAAGTATTAAATAAGATATTCACAAAAATATAAAATATTGAATAGATATAAATTTCAAGTAAAAGTCCTTATATTTTTTTCAGACTCTTATGAAGCATTTTAAGACTATCCCTGTAATTGAAAAAGAGGCATTAAGCTTTTTTATTTACACGGTAAAAACTAATGCCAATAAACTGGATCAAAAGAATGGTTTAAGTAATGATACCACATAGCCTAGGCCTTGTTTAATAAGTTCTGTTATTATACTAATATTTTATTAGTGAGATCAAAAATATGTGTATGGATTTTTACTTGTTAATAGGCATAGGTATTTTATAAGAACTATGTATAAAATATATTAAAAAATATATGTACAACAATACTTAATAAAATATTGTTTATTTACTCCATACATATTTATTTTCTTTATTATATACGGAAAATATCTATATAAATAAAACAATTAAATTTTTATATAATTTATTATTCATTTACTGCATTATATCTTTCGTCTCTAATATTTCAATATTTTCTTCTTCACTATCTCCATTCAATTCTAGAACGATTAATAATTATTTGTTATTATTATCATTTATCGAGAAAATGTAGTAAAAGTAATTATATAGAATACCTATACTTTCTATAGTTTTATTTTCTTCTTTCTTTATTACAGTAGTAATTTCAACGTCATCGATTTCTTCTTCGGATTCTGACACATTCCATGAATTAGGTCCACCTTCACCAAATGATATATTCTAAAATAGTTTTAAAGTATTAATTACATTATTCATATCAAATTTTAATTAGACCTTTTAATAAATATATTTAATAAATAGATATTTACTGTATTTGGTACTAATTCAGCAGAACCTATTCCAGGTTTTATAATTGTACAATTTTCAGTTTCTTCTTCTTTTTCCTCCATATCAACTTAAAAATATAATCAAATATAAATTTATGCAAGATTGTACTAAAATTGCACTATTATAATCAAAGAACTATTTACCATCAGATTCTATGTTTTTTATATCATCCCATTTACGTAGTTTAATACTGATACATTCACTGTTCATTGTAGTCAATTTTTTGGTCATTATACACTCCTTAAAACGATTTGTGTTACGATCTTCTTTCTTATACCTAAACATGTATTTGCAAAATGAAAATAATTTAATTAAAATTAAAAAATAAAAGTTTTACCTTGCTTCCACATCATAATTTACTGCTTCTTTTATTTGTTGCACCAATTGAACAGCATAATTTGTTGCATAACTAGAAACCGCTGATATCACATCTTCTACAGTCATAGTTTTTGTCAAATAATTAAAATGTAAACTACAAAGTTCTCTATATGAGTTAATGCCAAGAGTAAGTTGAGCTACTCCAACTCTTTCTTCTAAGTATGTTGGATCCATAACTGTACTTCCACTAAAATAATATAATTTTATAAAAAATGCTGTTTCTCAACATGCGTTACTAAATGCAATTATATAATTTAAATAATAAACCTTTCAAATGTTATAAAAGAGACACACACTGGATAATGATATAATGTTAGAGGTAAAGGATCCTTTTCAGAAAATGGATGAACTATAATATCTTCACCATTTGAAGTTACATCAGGCCTATGAAAATGAGAGAGAGCAGCTAATGTTGCAATAGAAGCACAATCAATTAAGTTTCCATCATGATTAATGACATTAATATCGACCCTTAAATTCCATACCTGTATTAATTATTAAAATAAAAAAAATATCCAGTGTCATTTTAATATAACAGTCATATAATTATTAATCAGTTTCAAGTGATTAATAAAGTTAATAAATACATTCTTTACCTTTTTATCAGCTATAATACATAAGGATTCTAGATCTACACATTTAGAATCTTGATAACATTTTTCAAGTTGTCTGCTGATCAATATTGAAATCTCAGATTGTCTGCCACTGTCAAAATGTTGTGCAGCCATTGGATTAAGTTCAACATTTATATGCAACATCCCTTCATTAGGACGAGAAGTTTTAGGTTGTTGAATATCGCATGTTACTTGTGCTACAACTCTATAATAAAATTATTATACAATATATAATTATTAGCTATATTTTAAAGTAAATATCATATTTTTGAGCTCGAGATTACCTAGTTTGACCAAGCAAAACCATACAACTACCCCAATTAGATGCAAAGTAAATTTTAACATTTCGTGCTTCTAATAAATTTCTGCCATCTAATCTCTAAAACACATTTTAACAAATTTTTATCTTTCGTACCTGTACAATTCATAAAACAGAATATTTAAACATGCGTACCGTGCCTTGTTCCACTGATTTATTTACAAAATTCTTTTCACAATTTGATAGTAAAACTTCTTTCATGATTCCAAATATTTATTTACAAGCAACGAACACGTGTAAAACGTTCAACAAAAATATAACCTTTAATTCGAGTAATGTCACACGAATTTTGTATTTTATTATTTTACCATTTAAAAACTGCTTGTGACAATGTATGTGTGACATAAATTAATGTCTCTCTCATTAATAAGTTGCACATAAATATTTTTAAATACTATTCTAAATTACTTCTTTTTTTACTATCGACATGTCATATAAAAAGATCAATTCATTAATCGATATTTTATTTTCAAGATGATCAATTTAAAATTACGATTATGACAAGATAATTTTAACTCTCATATTTTATTATTCAGTCATGCAGAGATTAGAAAATAATTACAAAAAGCTAGTAATTTTTCTAAATATCAAGTCCATTTACATGTGACATGTTTTTCCTTAGTTAAAAGAAAGAATTCTTTTTTTCTAATTTTTATATAAGTAAAAGTATCTATTAGAAACGTAATTAAAAAATTATATATAACTGCCAACGCTTAT